GCTCTGGCCCCAGCCTGGTGCACCCTCCCCCCGGGGGGGGATGCTGGCCGCGGAGCCCTGCGCAACCCCCTCCCCAAATTAACACTAATTAATAATAATCTAGACTTCTTCCTTGCCCTGCACCGGCGTGGGACGCAGACCTTGGTGGGCAACGGGCAGGGTCAGGACCCCAGTCTGGGGGTGGGGGGGCAAAACGCCTGTGACCCCGCGCTGGGGTTGCTCCCCGTGGGCTGTTGAGGCCCCCAAAAGTGCTGGTGCGGGACAGCTGCACCCCGAAATTGAGCACCGCAGATGAGCAAAGGGGCAGGGGGGCGGCCGGGGCACCCCGAAACGCTCGGGCTGGGCCCGAAAGCAGCTGCACCCGCCGCCGCCACCGCCGGGGCTTTCCGGGGTGCACGGGTGGCACAGCCCAGGCACGCGGGGCTCGGCCTCAGGGCTGGAAACTCCCGCCCCTGCCTTATTTATCTCTTATATTTATTTTAATCCTTCTTCCTTCAAGCTGCCTTGGTTTCCACGCTAAGGACGTGCTATGACAAGATGAAAAAAATAAAAGCAAAACCCAGGAGGGCAGTGGGCGCCGGCCTCGCTCCCCGCCTCCGGGAGCCGGTTTTCCCGGCTCTCCCTTTTCCCGTAAAGGTGGGGTGCTCCTGTGGGCCCGGCGCTGCTCCCGGCACCGTGCCCACTCTTGGCTCCTCAGGTCCAACATCCGCAGAGGTGGGTGGCGGAGCACCCCATCGCCCTTGGCCGCGGCAGGAGAGGGGCCGGGACCTGCTGGGAGGCAGTTTTTGTGCCTCGCAGCTGCCGCGATGGAATCTGGGGACCGCTTGGGATGCTAAATGGGCATCACTAGCATCGCCGGCGCTGCTGGCCAGCATGGGGGCACCGCAGTTTCATGCAAAAAAAAAGAAGGGGAAAAAAAGGAGGAAAATCAACCCTGGGGTCGTGCATCAGTCCTGTTATAAACGCTCGTGACAAATTGGAGGAGCCAATTTGTATTGAATAAAAAAATCGAATTTATTAGCAAGCGATAAGAGAGCAAAACAGCGCTGGGCGGCCGGGGAGGCAATGCTCCGCCACAGGCCCGCAACTTTATGTTATCATTACATTCCTTATATACATTTCATGTATCCCCTTTCTTGTAAGTCTCCGCCTTGTCCTGCTTCTTCTTTCCTCATTTGTGCAGGTCTGTTACTATGTAGATTCGGTAAATTTTCTCAAGGATGAGTATCCTTTGATGTAGAATGTCTTTTGATGTGGAGAAATACAGTCTTTGTTAATTGCAGCTGTTGTCCTTCCTCTCCTTATCTAGTAAGTTATAGCCATTGCTTTCCTCCCGTGACCCGTGACCTTCACGCATCACTTAAGCTGTTATTTACACAAGGCATATGTTAACTCTCAATATGTCTCTTCACCCTTCTCGATTTCATGAACAAAGTTAACCCGTTCATTACAAGCCCCACACGTGCATTTCAGGGCCAGCATCACCCTTGCAAACGGATGAACCCTGTGGGGGTCCCCACCAGCCATGCCAGGCCCCAAAAGCGAGAGGGGGAGCGGGCAGAGGTGGGAGCCAGGTCCCAGTGGCCGGTGCACAGCAGCAGCCTATCCCCCTCCCCCAGAAATGGGAAGCAGGGCCAGGCTGGGGCTACAGCTGGTTTCCAGTAACACGGGGCCCAGGCACAGCTGGCCGTGATAGAAAATGGTCAGCCTGGGCTTCGGACCACTGCGGTGCAGGTTATGTAGTTTTTTGCATTAAATTAGAGGAAAATTAGCGAATAACCATGATATTAGGCAGGTCACAGCCGGCCCAAGCATGCGCTCATCTGCGTTGCTCTTCCTTGAGCCCCTTTAAGCTCTGTGGGGAGCAGTAAAACAAATCAAACCACTCTGAGATTTGCAGGAGTTTTACAAGTTTATTACCCAAGGACAAGAGTGGTGGCCGTCGGGGCTGAAGCATGGGATTTTGCCCTCTTCCCCCCTACATTTCTTACTTTTGAGGGAATTTCCCCTTCTCTCCAGGAACTTCTCCCTACTGCTTACTAGGAACTCCTGCATGGTTTTCCCGGACATTGCCCTTTATTTTCTAAGAAATTTCCCCCTTCCTTCCTAAGAAATCACCCTATTGCTTTCGAGGAAATTTCTCTGTCCCGTTGCAGGCAATTTCCCTCCCATTGCTTCCTCCCTTGCTTCCTGGGAAATTTCCTTGTTACTTTCTAGAGTCCTCCATTGCTTTCTAAGAATCTTCTCTCTGCTTAGAGGACTTCTAATGCTTTCCAGGAACTTTCCCCATGACTGTTGCTCCCTGGGAAGTACAAAATTATTTCCCCAAGAAATCTCATTCTTCCTGTCCAGGAAATTTCCCTTTTGATTTCCAGCAATTCCTCCTTTGCTTTCTGAGCAGTTTCCCCTCTAGGAAATATCACTGTTACTTTCTTAAGAAATGTCACTTTTGCTTTTCAGCAAAAAAGCTTTTTTTTTTTTAAATTTCCTCAAATATCAGCTTTTTGCTGGTACTTGAGGACATTTCCTCTTTGCTTTCTAGGAACTTTCCTCCTTTGATTTCTAGGTTATCCTCCCTATGGCCTTCTAGGAAGTTCCCCCATTGCTTTCTACAGCTTTCCAGAATATTTCCCCCTAGTGCTCTCAAGGAAATTCCTACATTGTCTTGCAGTAAATGTCCCCTTCATTTTCCAGGATATTTTACTGTAGCTTTCTAGGATGGTTTCTCTTTGCTTTCCAGGAACTCCCCTACTGGTTTCCAGGAAATTCCCTTTTGCTTTGTAAGAATTTTCCCCCAGGGCTTTAGGAAATTTCCTCTTTGCGTTCCAGGAAATTCCACCAGCCAAATCCGACCCACCTGCTGGAACCCATGGCAGGGGCATACAGCACCTCCACCAAAATGTGTTTAAGGGCAGTAAACACCACAAAACCCAAACAAACTGGAGCCACAAGAGCCGTAGTCAGGGCAGGAGCAAGGGGCGGGACTGACACGTGGGACAAGGTATGACAGAAAAGAGCCTGGGGTCAGCAGAGGACCTTATGCCTGAAGAACCAGGTAGGACACATGAGGAGTTGACCCCACGCTGGCTGTTGTCCCGTGCCCTGGGGACAAGTGACATCCCCAGGGAGGGAAGCAGAGGTGTAGGTCTCCGAGTGTATTTATTTACTTTTATTCCTCAATTAAGCAGTGATTGCACTGAGGTTTCTGTTAATCAGGGATTAAGTTGATGGGAATTCTCCCATTTTAAACTCTTCTTTTTTTGGCCAGTGGCACCCTGCCTGCCTGGGGGGCTCCTGCGGGGCCACAGTCACTGTCTCCTGCCACCTCCCCAGGTCCTCCTGACTCAGGGACATGTCCAAGCAGCTAAAAATCAGCCCCATTCAGGTCACCAGCTCCAACGTGGTGGAAGAAGAGCTGGAGATTCCAGGAGGAAAAGTCAGTTTTACAACAAGGTTTTTTGAAGCATCCAAAATGACAAGGAGACCTTTCCCTGAACCTCAGCCCTTCACTGCACCAAATTTTCCTCCAAACACAACCCCACGATACAAACCTGCACCCCACGGACCCCTCTGCAGCTGCCAGTCCCCCAGCTTCAGGGGGCAACCCTTGCAGGCGGAAGGGCAAGCAGAAACCCCACTACTTTTATCAGCAAGGTTTCTTTTGGGGACCCTCCTTGTAAATCACAAAGCAGCAACGAACAGGGCACCTTACAAAAAAAAAAAAAGGAAAAAAATCTCTTTTAATCCACCCAAGGGAAATCCAGAGCAAGAGCAGCATCACAGCACTACAACAAAGCACAGACATCTATCACCATCTTTGCACAGATTCCTTCCCACATACATGGATAAGTCATTAAGAAAAATAAAGAAAATTATTCACATGTGCAAAGTGACACATAACAACTCAGCCACAGAACAACTTTTTTGAAGAGAAAAAGGACGCATCAAGGAAGAAGACCCCCAACATACAGGTTTTGCAAAAAACTAACCCAAGAATGTTGGAACAGAGGTGGTTTTCTTTTAAACATTAAAAACAGGGATTTTTTTTTTAATTCATTTAAATATACATTTGAAACACAAACACCAAGCAAGCGTGTGGAGAATAAAGCGAAAAGAAGAAGGAATGAAAAGTTAATTCGACCAGTTTAATTTAAACACCAAAGTTGGGTGAATTGCACCAAATGGAATAAATAATGGAGAAGATCACGTTGGGTCAGTAGATCTCACACTTAAGATCATTTAAACTAAAATGAATTACCCAGCCCAAGAGAGTACTGAATGAGGAAGTCCTCTGACAAGTGATGTTAGTTGGGGCAGTGTCCCTTTGAGAGCGCAGGTTGTAGGTGTGGATTTGCCCTCTGCCACCCAACAACGATCACCACCCCAGAAGCAAGTGCGATGACGAGTTTTTCTGGTCCAGAGCACCTGACCCCATAATCATGTACACGCAAACACCTCCTTGCTCAGGGTGTGGGAACCCGCTGCCTCTTCAACACCGGCTGGCTCCAAACACACGCAAGTCAAACACCAAAACACAACCAGACCTTGTGTTTTCACCTTGCAAGGTGAGCACACAGGCGTGGCATTTCTAGCACGGCTCCACATGGTTGGGCACCGCAGAAGTGGAGCAGGCACCTCCTTTCGTGCACCTGGGGCCAGGCTAGAAAAATAAAATTAATCAGCTAATCTACACCTGCGGCCACTGCTTTATCACCCCAAGGGTGGGCAGGCTGAAGGAATGTAAGTGGTTTCTTGTTGTTTGGCTTTCCCTCCCCACAACCCCGCATTAAAAAAAACAAACAAACAAACAAACAAAACCCTGAACAAAAATAACTTGATCCCAAGTTCCTCTCCCTCCCCTGCCTGTAGCCAAGCAGTGAAGCACCTTCAGACATTCATGTGATCCCACAGACATGTTCCCTACAGAGCAGACATCTCATCTCTGCACCTCACCCGGCTGTGCCTGTGACACCTAGTTAGGAGGGACATCCCTTTGCTTTAAAATAAAAACGATTACAAAATCAATAGTAGTGAGCCCCTTTCCCTTCCTGTGACCTCCAAGAAGTCATCCAAGTCCAACTTGTTTTTGAGAAAGGGAGACAGAAGGGGTGAAGGTTTCCAGGCCAGAAACTTGCCAGATCCAGCATCCCGCCTGCCGTGCCTCCAGCGGCGATGAGATGAACCCTCTTTGTGCAGTGCCTGCTCTTGACCCAGGGCAGCAGAGCCAAGGAGGGGCTGAGGGGACACAGCTGCCCCTCCAGCTCCTCCTCAGATAGCTGGCAACTCCAGGAAGAAAGAGGGGGACTGGGGTGGATGAGGCTTCAACGTTATCTCCTTCCCATCCCTCTTCCTCCCCAAGGCTAGGAGGAGACTTCTGCGTCTGCAAGCCCAGTCTGTGCTTACCAGTGTCCTTAAGAATGACAATTTAAAAACCAAAAAAAAAACAGGAAAGGAAAAAAAAAAAGAAAAAAGATATGCATAATTGGGTATTGTCCGTGGAAGGAGCAGGAGGGGGCAGGTTCCAGACTGAGACAGAAAAGGGACTCTCCCCCTGCCTGTGTTTGCTCGTCTGGAAACCCCATCCCCTCGGCATCCCTGCACGAACTCTTTGTGCTGTTGCTCTGACATCAGTTGACATGGATGATGAACATGGAGATGAATTCAGTGCTGCAGAGGGCGGGAGGGCACACACACGCGTGCCGGGGCTAGGCTCGGTGCTTGGGGAGCATGTCCAGCAGGAACTCCGCGATGCCGATGAAGTAGACAACTTGTGCGATGCCAAAGAGAGGAGCAATGACCAGGGCTCGGCAGTATGCCCCTTTCAGGAAGGCCATAGGCCCTTCCTTCTGCCAGATCTTCCTGGGGAGAAACAGCACAGACAGGTAAGTTTCCATTCCACCCCTCCACCTCGCCAGGAGAGCCTCTGGTCAGGCCCTGGCTTTCAGCCTCCCTCCAGAGACTAAACCCAGGCAAGCGCTGTCACCTGGCACTGCCTCCATGGCAGATCATCCACCATCCCCCATGTGCTCTGCAAATAGCCAGGCAGGAACATGCCCCATCCCTACGAATGGCCAGGAGCAGGAGCCTGGGTCTGGATATCAAGCTAAGACAACTCCATGCTTGCATCAAGAGGTCCCCCCCCGCTCAAAAGTTGGGGCCAGCTCCACCCTCAGTATGGGACACAGCCAGATGGCAAGCGACTCTGGCTACAACAGCAATACACAAGCAATACACAAGACTCCCTTCATGTTTTGAAGCAGCCAGACCACAGTTTAGCAAAGCGTCAGAGAAGAGTGCGACTGGGGACAGCCCACTCAGACAGTGTTCCTGCAGCCGCTGTTCAGAGTGGTCCCAGGAGGGATACGAGACTTAATGCTGTAGGATTTCTGGACAACAGGGCCTTGGGAGAGACAACCAGAGCATTGCCTCCCTTTGCAGAAATAAAATCTTAAGTGTTATGACTGCTGGGGTTTGGACAGAAGCATTTGAATATAAATGCTATATTAACCTTACTCAAAATAGGAAGAAGTTCCTTTTTATGTACCTATATATATGAACAGTATATAAATCTGGTCATATATCTATATATCTATCTGTATAGATAGATAGACAAAAGCACAGGTTCAGCAGGAACCTGAAACAGAGAAGCTGCTGGTTGGGTCTAGAAGCTGCACTGACTGCCTGGCAGCGGGCAGCAGCAGATGCTGTACATCTGATGTGGTGGCCTGCTTCACGAGGAGTCTTACTTGGTGCAGTCCAGGATTCCTGAGTAGGTGTCCTCATTCACACCTCTCTGCAAGGACTGCAGCCGTGTTTTGATCACTGGAGAGAAAGAGAGAAAAGAGACAGTGGTGAGCACTAGGAATGCAGCATGCTCTTCAGCAGGCAAGAGCCATCCTGAGAGTAATATCTTTGAAACACAGTCAAAATGAGATCACCAAGAGCACAGACCATTTTCATATATTTATCAGCAAGACTGTATGAGGTTCAACAAGGCCAAGTACTGGGTCCTGCACTTCGGTCACAACAACCCCATGCAATGCTACAGGCTTGGGGAAGAGTGGCTGGAAAGCTGCCCGGCAGAAAAAGACCTGGGGGTGCTGGTTCACAGCCAGCTGAATATGAGCCAGCAGTGTGCCCAGGTGGCCAAGAAGGCCAACGGCATCCTGGCCTGTATCAGAAATGGTGTGGCCAGCAGGACTAGGGAAGGGATCATCCTCCTGTACTCGGCACTGGTGAGGCCGCACCTCGAGTACTGTGTTCGGTTTTGGGCCCCTCGCTACAGGAAAGACACTACAGAAAGAGGTGCTGGAGCGTGTCCAGAGAAGGGCAACAAAGCTGGTGAGGAGCCTGGAGCACAAGCCTTATGAGGAGCAGCTGAGGGAACTGGGGTTGTTTAGCCTGGAGAAAAGGCGGCTGAGGGGAGACCTTACCGCTCTACAACTACCTGAAGGGGGGTTGTAGTGAGGTGGGTGCTGGTCTCTTCTGTCAGGTGGCTGGTGATAGGATGAGAGGAAGAGAGGAAATGGCCTCAAGTTGCAGCAGGGGAGGTTTAGGTTGGATATTAGGAAAAATTTTTTTACTGAAAGGGTTGTCAGACATTGGAATAGGCTGCCCAGGGAAGTGGTTGAGTCACCATCCCTAGAGGGATTCAAAAAGCGCATAGAGAAGGCACTTCAGGACATGGTTTAGTGGGCAGGGTTGACAGTTGGACTCGATCTTAAAGGTCTTTTCCAACCTAAACAATTCTGTGATTCTATGAAAACAGGGAAAAACAAACCCATTCCTTTACAAATGGATAAAAGAAAAAACACAGCCACCCAAATGGCAACCCCCTCCCCTCACTGTGACCAAGGTTTCCAAGGCTGACTTAAGCTTTAAACGCTTCCAAATTCAGATATCTTTCTGCAAAGTGAGAACTGATTTTCAAATACTCAGCTCCTTCTGGAAGAAGTATCTAAAACATACGAAGCTGCTCTTACACTTCTTCACAACTTGGAGAGTCTGCAATGTTGGAGAGGGAGGAGTTGCTTTCTGGTGTTTTTTACAGCAGAGAAACTGAGGTGGTATTTAAGGCAGATGCTGTGGAGCCGGAGAAAAGGCCCCACACAGATCCGACGCTTCCCCTGGTTGTCCATGACCGTATGCACGTAAATGGTCTGCACACTATCACTCCACACAGAAACGTGCCTTTTCAGGAGCACGTTCGCAGCCATTCCTGCGAAGAATGACTGAAATGAATGACACCCTCTTCCTGACCTACCTAGCAGGTACTGCAAAACTTCCTGTAAGCTGTGGCCAAAGGTAGAGCTCAGCTGAAGCAAACATCATCTGAGCTGAGGCAGCTCAGACAGCAGAGCTCCCCTCCTACAGTACACCTCCCCGCACGCTCATGCTGTGAAGAGGCTGGCACGGTCACCCTCCTCCTCACCCAGCTCACTCGTGGGCCTCTGACTCCTGTCACTTGGCACCAGGCCACCAGCACAGGCTACTCAGGACTCACCATCGCAAGGATTGACAGCCACCGCAGCTGTACTGCCAGCCACACATCCGGAGAGGAATGATACGTAGAACGGAGCCTTGACATTGGGGTCTTTCTGGCCCAGCTTGTTCAGGTTTGCAAACAGTGGGAAGTACACAATGGAGAACGGGACATCCCTGCGGTGGGGAGGGAGGAAGGGGAAGAAAGAAGAACAAGGATGAGCAAAGTCAGAGCAGGACACCAACAAACTAAGCATCAAACTAAGAAGGGCTGTGAGCATCACGTTGGCAGCACAGCCACAAGCACAACACAGATATCCCAGCTCTGTGATCTGCAATGCAGCCAGGAGCCAAAACTCAGCAGGGACAAAACTGACTGCACAAAGGAGAACAGGCCCACAGGAGGCATGCAGCCCTGCAGAGTCAATGGCCTCCCCTTGATTTTCCAACACTCAAACCAAAGACCCCAGCACATGCAGAGGTCAATCATTTTGTCCACTTTTGCTAATTACAAGAGGTTCACACCCTGCCCCTCATCCCACTGGGCATTGCTTTAGCTCTGCCTTTGCTAAAGCTAGAGGAGAGTCACTCTGGCAAAGCCCAGGTAAAGAGTGTCAGGGTGGGCACTGCTCCTTGCATCCAACACGCTCCATGGGCCAGAACCTGTTTCACACTCTGGAGACTCAGGCTGATGGTTTTGCTTTGCTAGCTCACAAGGACTTCTCTACAGTGTTAAAATATGGACCATGGGGGAGACAAAAACCTTCCACAGAAAGCAGCAGAATTAAATCTTCCAGGAACAAAAAGGCAGCCTCCTTCGCAGCCCTGACCTTCCCTTCTTTAATGCACAAAACCTGTGCATGAAAACCAAACCAAATCAAACCCACACCGCCTGAAGCCAACACCTCCTTTGCAGGCTTGTTCCCTGGATGGCTGGTGCTTTAGGTTCAAGACTGGAAACACCAGTGCCCTGTGCTCGAGCCCACGCCATCCTACCTTAGCAGTGTGGCTCCCAGGCCCTTGTAGAGTCCTGCAATGCCTTTGCTCCGCAGCAGCTCCCTTGTTATCTGTGTTGCTGTGGTGCGCCTTTCCACCGCTGGCTCGGCTGACCCCACCGCAGAGGAAGAGGACAGCTGGGCCTGCGCTGCCATCAGTTTCTTCTGTGCCGCTGGGGAGAAGCGGAGAGAGCACTGATCTGCAAGATGCTCAACAGCAGTCTCTTTCTGCCCGGTGCCATGGGACAAGGAGGAAGAGCCAGACCTCCAGGTGCACCCAAACATGCAGACTAAGGCCAGCCAGGTGCCCTGCAAGCTTTTGCTCCCAGTCTGCCCATCTCCTTCAGCCTGAGACAACCCAGCTTGTCCCACTCTTGGAGCTGGCTGCTGCCATACCACAACGCTGTCTGCTGCGCTCTCCTACTGACTGGTTTTACCTAAGCAGGAGCAGCCTGTCTTGCACAACCTCCGTGGTGCAGAGAAAAGGAGCTGCCGTGAGCAGGCAGATGACAGTACCTGCTTCCAGCTACATCCCTGAGCCCCAGCTAGGACAAACTAAAGATATTCACAAATGAGAGAGGTTCAACAGTTCTGTTCTTTGCTTCCTTCCCTTGAAAGCAATCACTAACCTGGGGAGTTCCTCAGTCACATTTATAAAAGCAACCTGGTTTCTCCCATCCTTTTCAAACTCATGCATTTCTGCTCTTTGGCCACAAGATGGAGAGCACATCAACCTGTTGGCAATCCTTAGGCTGCCACGGGCACACCACAGGTCTCTTGCCACACAGAGAACAGGCTGTTCACAGCAGCAAAAACCTCTTCTGAACCCTCAAATCATGGCTTAATTCCTTCAAACATTTTAAAATAATACGCACAAAGAGGATAAGGTCTGCATTAAAAACGGCAAAGAGACGAAAGAAAAAGTAAATTTGTGATTTTTCAGGAATGCCACATCAAAGGAGAAATTAAAGGATAAATTGGCCCGTTTTCCAGGAAGGACCACAAACATGGTATCTAATGGTGTCATGCAGGGCTCCTGAGGAACGAGGCCATACCCTGGGCTGACCTCTGGAACAGATTAAGGCGATAGCAAACAGCTCTTCCCCCCCAGAGTCTCCATGCCAGACTCTGGTCCCCATTCTCACCAGAAATGCCCCACAGTGTTTCAGCCAAAAGGCTCACACTCCCTCCTGCCTCTACCTGCCAGCTCCTGCCCACAGCCCCAAAAGCCTGACGCCAAACCTCTTCCAAACCCAGTGTGCCAGGAGAAATCTTATTTACTGTTTCAGCCAAGACAACTGCTGCTTTTGTCAGGAAGAAAAAAAGAGAGAGTAAGAGGGGAGACAAGTCATTTGGAAAGGACACATCCCCTTGGGAAGCTGTTGGGGAGGTGCTCCAGGGGGGTAGAAGAGAGAGAATAATCAGAAAACAGAGAGAGAGAGGAAGGACCACAGGAAAAGCACTGGAGGATGCTAATCCCTTCCTGGGTACCTAGTAACTAACAAGTTTTAATTGTTCACAAGCTGACCACCCTGTTATCTCTCCTGTCTCTCTCCATCCACCAGCAGCATTTGCTGTTTCACTTGCCAAGCCTATTGCTTCAAGAAAAAAAAAAAATCATCACCTTTTGTAACTGCAAGGGCCTCTGCAAAGCCAGGTGAGCAAAGGGTGGGGGTAAGTGACCTGGGAAGAGGAGGAGAAACTTCTGCTACAGCCTGAGATACCTCTGACTTGAGAGAGCAGGGGGAAGGAAGAGTTTTCTCTGCTCATTCCTTCCCCCTCTGCCTTGACAGCCCAGTCCCAGCTCTTTCCCCACTGCCTGCTCAGTGCACAGGGAAGAGAAGCCCACATACCAATTCGCCCTGCATCCTGCAGCTGGATTTTAAGCATCTCCATGGGAGTGGTGACAATCACCTGGCAGGTACCCGCGCCGCAGCCCGCCAGCATCTCCCGCAGCAGTGTCAGCTTTTTCCTGCCCAAAGAAAAGAGAGAAAGAGTCAGTCGGAGGATGTGGCCTGGAGTAACACTGGGGCAGCTGGGTGCAGGGGCTCAGGGCACACCTCTGACCCTGGGGGTTACAGGAGAAGCAGCCCCCAGGGACAGGGGAACCTGCTTGGCTTGACAGTTCAGCATAGCCCAGGCTCGGCATTTCTGCTGGCATCACCTGATCTGGAGGAAAAGGCCCATTTTGGGCCCAGAAACAGAATATTCAGAAAATGCCACAAGGCCGGCCAGAATAGACCCAGATGGGAGCACACGACCCTCTCCATCCCCAGACAGAGAGCTGCAGCTCTCTTCCAGCCCGGTGTTGCCCCTGGTCGGGGCACAGCTTTCAGAAAGGGTATCGCTTCAGAGGGCAGCAGAGGACCTGAGCATTAAGGGGGATAAGCAGCTTTCCATTTGCCAGCCTAGTCCTTTAAATACTGTCAACATCCCCACAAACAAACAAACAGAAACCAAAGGGCAAGGAGCAAGGGGGGGGAAATATTCGAGTTGCGGCTTTGGAGTTCTCCCACAAAAGCAAAATAAACAAACAGTGAACATGAGAGTCAGGGAGGCAGTCCCCCTGTTACCCCTGGTTAGGAGCTTCTTCACCTCACCAGCCTTTCCAAACCTGAAAAAGTAGCCTTTGCACTAAACTGGTCCTGCCTGAGGGACAAGGGATGGGATGGACCCGCAGCACTGCAGCTTTGTGCATCTTCTGCACGGGAGAACAAGGATTATCAGTGATATGTTCTTGACTAACAAAATGCAGCATTTCACAGCTCCCTCCATCACAAAGCCATGAAACAGCTTAGCTAAGATGAAAATCACGTACTTAGGATGCAAATGCTCAGAAAGCCTCAGTTTTCAGAAACTGATGAGTTTTTGCCCTGTAAAAACCTCACCCCTTGGCACCAGAAAACACTGACTGGATTAAAAAAAAGAAGTGCCTCTGATCTGCTCTTATCTAAATGGTGGTGGTGGGGGGGGGGGGGGCGGGGAAAGGCAACTATAAATCACACAGCCAGAGGGAAACAGCCTCTTCTTTTTTCTGTTTTAAATGCAAGTACTATTTTTACTCCCCCCAGCCCCACTCCTGCAGCGATACCTCATCTTAACCTACTCAAGGCGAATCCCCACACTATGGCAAAAGCAGTCCCACAATGATACACCCTATTCCCTTGCAAAAACAAGCCACGCTCCCTTACTGGGGGTTTCATATGCAAGCACATACAGCACAGCTGTGGCACTGCAGACCAGCAAAGAAGCTTCAATGCCAACCCTAAAGGAAAGGGAGGGGAGATGCGCTGTAATCCTGCTGGCCCACCATGTCAGCTGGGCTGTTTTCTCCACCCCTCATCTTCTCCAGGGAGGACATCAGAGCAGGGGATTAGAGGCACAGAGCCACAACGGAGATTACCAGCAACTAAATATAGAGCTCTCCTGTGAGGCTGAAGGGAGGAACATTTCACAGTCTCCCCTTTCCCAATTCCCCCACAGATGAGAAGCTGCGAAGAACAGTCCCTCCCATGGAGTTACCCACACAGGTGCTTAAGTGTGTGCAGCAAGCTTTCCAGGAGGTACACAGGTATCAGGGTGTGCAAATCCAGAGGTCCCCCCTGGCAGTGACACCTGGAGGTGGCCAACTTGTGCCTCTTGGGCGGCCTGAAGCCTTGGACACCAGTCTCTGTGCAGCTTGATACAGCCAGCAGCAAGGCTGTACAATCCCTAGTCCAGCTGTAAGAGGAAGCAAACCACCCAAAGGAGCTGGCTGCCAGTCCCTCTCTATGGCACAGCAGAGCATCTCACACTTTAGCAAGAGCCCTGGAGCACCCCTGGAGTACTTGTCTCCTGGCTTTCATCCAGGGCAACCGCTTTGATACCCAGTTCAAAAGATCAGGAAGATTTGCCCTACATGTTCATTTGTGGACCATTATCCCAGGCAACAAAAGCCGACCTGGCTTGACTGAACTCCATGGAGCTATGCCAGTGTGACCCAGTGAAGGATTTATGTGCATGGGTGTATTTTAGAGATGTCAAACAGGTACATCAAAAGCATCTAGAACAAGGGCTTTCAGCTTTTGGTTTGCATATCCTGGGAACTGGGGGCAGTCCAAGAAAAAATAGCTTAAGATAAGCAAATCTTTTGTCAGGAGGTTTAAAATTTGCCATACAAGGGTCAAACTCCCTTTGCAAAACCTCACCAGTCTGCACGTAAAGGAAGTTTGAAAACGGTTCATCTCTAGACGACAAAGGAGTTTAAATATTCAAGGCACCACAGGCATTATCCTCAGTGGTTTAAAAATTGGCACACCTCAAATAACTTCAAAAGCTGCAACACCAGCAAGGATCTGGTCCTACAAATGCAGAAACCATCTTTTATCACAGCAAGAGGGTGTTAAATATAACATATACACAATAGCCCCAAATTCTGCACTGGCAGAATCAGTCATTCCACTTTAACTGACATGCAATTAATTAGTGACAAATCAACAATGTCAAATGGGAAGGGGAGAAGACTCATGCTGCATCTAAATTAGAGTTTCAATCTAGAACTGAAAAATGAGAAAGTCAAAAAGCAGGAATGAGAAGTTAATGGAGGGCTTTTCAAGGGCAACACACCAGTCCAAAGTTAGGATCTCTGAAAGCATTGGTATATCGATGTCACATGGAAGCAGAGTAAGATTTTTTTCAAGGTTCTGAAAAATCTTGACCATGTAGGAGTTGACTGTGCTTAGGCAGGGACCAAAACCAGCCATTCTGGCATAAGGATGACCAGATTTCCAAAGACAGGGAATCTTTGACCTAAGGAAGCATCCATACAAAGCTATATGTTTCTGTTTGCTACCCAAGAGGCTACTGTCCCCAGCTTGGACATCATCTTCCTCACTCATAAAATAATCTCTGCCTCTGTTCTGACAACCCAACGGATTGTCAAAAGCTCCCTGAGAGTTTCAAACCAGAGAAAGTCAGCTGCTTTCAAACAAAAGTGGGTCTTTGATATGGATTAGAGGACCAACACACAGGAGCTGTCCTTCAAAGGGAGGGCAACTTGTCTGCCACAGCCACGCAGGGACATGCACACAAACCGCCAGTCAGTCCCTTTAACCCCAACCCCTGATCTTCCAAGAGGGAACAACAAGCTATTGCAATCACACTTCAGAAAAGCTGGAGCTGTGATGCTGGGAAATGTAAAAGCAAGAAAGTTCATATCACAAGCTCCCTCTCACTTCTGGTGCCAGCTCAGAAATGCCTCAGACAAGCAAAGCAAAGCAGGTGGACAGATCCACCTCAAAGGAACGCCACCAGATTAAATGTTGCTCTGGCAGACGTTACTCTGTAGGTTGTATGGTACAACCTACCTCTGGCTGCAGGAGCTCTGTGTTGCGTGTTTGGACTAAGTCAAGAGGAAGGTGACTCTGCCTGCACCCATTATATCAGGTTTGCCCTGGCGGGAGATCCCAAGTGTTCTGTTCCAATACGAACGTCTGTGGAAGTGAACAATGAACACGGCAACGTGTCTGGGCATGTTGAACACAGACACAACCCATGTTTTGTCCCAAGACATGCGCCTGGAATGGAGACAAAGGCAATACTCCTCTCATGGGTGTATTCTGTGATTAAACAGCCCATCTCTAGCTCCCTCTAGATTAACAGTTGAAAGTGCATTTACTTGCTGGCTGACCTTTGATGTCTACAACCTCAACCCACTGTAATTCCCTGAGCCTCTGTGTGCTAAATAATAGCTATCCCTGAATAGGCACAGTGAGATTATCAGCTCTTAACTGGCTCTTTCTCTAGGGGAAGGGCTGGATTCCCCCACCTACAAGTCCCAGTGGGTTGGATGAGGCTTATCTGCATTAAAGAAGTGTTTAGACATCCAGTGGGTAACTACAGGAGAGGCTGCCTTGGCCCACAAGGGTTCCAGCCCAGAGAAAGACCAAAGCATGGTGTGTACAAGGTGACACAGCAGCTCAGCACCAGGACTAGCAGCATCCCTCCTTCCTAAATCAAAAGCCTCACTTTACAGTCTATGAGCATTTTGCAGCTCAAGGATCAACCAGGCTGTGCAATGGCTACTTAACCAGATGCCACAGAAAAGATGGTCCGAGTATTTTAGGACAGCCTGAAAGAGAAGTAGATGAAGGAAGGAGCCCTGGGGAGACATATCAGCTGGGAAGGCAATGGAGAACAAACTCCAGTCTCCCCACCTGCATGGGAGAGAAGGAAAAGTGCCTTGCTTGTCTCAGGATTACAGTTGGCTATTTCTTTTCTCTGAGCAAAGCTACAAGGCAGGGGAAAGCAGAAAGGAAGAAAACTTGCTGGCATCAGCAAAGACACAATTAACACAATCGTGCTGGTCTTCCTAGGATTCCGAGCTGCTAAGTCAGCAGACTGCCAGCCTCTGCTCCAGAACAGCAAACAAAACAAAGGTCAAGATTAAAGAGGACAGAAGACGTAAGGGAATAACACACCTTGGAGAAGAGCAGCAGGAAACTCATCTAGGGACACTGGCAAGTTTTTATGAGCAAGAAATCACTTTTATAAGAAGCCATGAGACACTTTTTACCACAGCCAGGCAGACTATTTAACTAAGAACTGAAAAATGAACAACAAAACCTGGCAAACACATGCCAAACACAACAGCTGTCTGGCACTCAACACTCTGGAGATAAACATGAAACCTTGGACACTTTAAAGGCACTGTTTTTTAATGAAGTGTTTAACACCCAAATTCAGAGAGGACATAAAAAGTAGGCAATACTTACATCTATCAAAGAGGCCTCACTCACTGAACGCCCAAAAATCAACAATGTACTTTAAATGCATGCTGGTGTACTACCAAGTTAAATTGCTTTCTTAGCTTCATACTCAAGTGCTTCACTTAGCCCTAGTGACTCCTCCCTCACATCCTCTGCTCTGGACAATGAAGCTATTTTAACGGCAGCTGTGAGATTATGGGTCTCTCAACACATCCAGCTTCAGAAATCCAGAGAAAAAAAAAATAAAAATCCCATCTGTTTCCAGCAGCCTGAAGGTTGGAAGTTTCCCTTCTCTCTTGTGTCCTGCATTCCCCAGCCATGTGGTCCAGCCAGCACAGAGTGCCACAGGAACAAGGACCTGCCTGAAGACTCTTCTGTGGGTCACCTCTTCTACTTCCCCTGGGAAGTGCAGAGGCCCTCAGGCCAAAATCATCACAGGACAATGTTTGACCCTTATTGCCTTTCTCAATCAAGGTCATGGGGTGCCCTTGAGGTTTTCCAGTATCTTGGTTTTCTTCCTTTCCTCCACGGCATAGCAAGGGGATTTCCAGCACTCACACAACTCACGCAGGCCTCCCTTATTCCTACATGACCAGGACAGCCTGGGAGGACCACCACAGTTTTGTTCCCTTGTGAAACAAGAAGCTGTAGCAGTAGGCTGTCATAACGGTCTCAACAGCAAAATAGAAACAGGCAAAGAAGCAAAAATCAAGTCCTGCTGTCCTGTGAGCACACATCCTTCCTGCACCAAAAGGAGGGGAAAAGCATTGTATGGGCAGGAGTGCCCTGCTGAGCTAGCCCCAGGGTGGAGAGGGCTGCAGGAAAAGACATCTCCAGCCTCAGGGAGATGCGTGCACCAACAAGGGCACAAGGTCCCACGTGAGGTCTTGCTGCCCCAATACTCCACCTCCAGCAGCATCCAAGAATATGGCCAGGGAAAAGGGAGTCTAGCACAAACCTGCAGTGATACATCCTCAAAATACTCTTCCAGCAATTTGCAGCCAGGAGCTTCCTACACCACAGGTGGTGTTTTCAGTCTGGCCTTACAAAAACAAGCTTTATGCCACCTTTTTTCCTAGCAGTTTAAAAGCAAGTTCATTTCAACAGTAAGTTTTTTCAAAGGATTAAAAAAATATATATATTAATGCACACTAAAAGTTGTTGTGTAACTTGAAGCTATTTTGGGTCATGCTGGGTTTGCCACACTCTCTCTGGTCCACACACGCTTCTTCCACTTGCACATGGAGGACACACTTAGCGTATTTTAATCAGCAAATACTGACAGAACATGCACATTTTATCAGACAAGGATCTCCAATTCATGCAACACATTTCAAGCAAGACAAGTGCTAGAAGCTTAGCAACAAAGGCATTCAATGTCAAACAGGTCTAGAAGACTTTTGCAGCTCTGAGTCAGAAAAGCATGAGAGCATCCTTTGGGATGCTTGCCTAAGAGCACAGCATACTATGAATGTATAGCAGACAGTCTGGCTTGTGCAAAAAGGATGTTGGTGGAGCTGAACCAAGATCTTGGTGGCTCACCATGAAAAAACAGGCCCCAGCCTTACACTGAGCCTAACTCCCTCAGCTGTGCTTTAGACCATATAACACCCTGACTGTTGCAATTACATATCTAGAAATGAAATCACATCGATATGCCAGGCAGCTTGAATTTTCACCTTTCTAATCCCGGGCTATTTTGTTGTTCATAGCTAGGCTTTGACTGGAGTTGTGAATAGGTGGCCCAGCCTTGCTATGTGCTAGTAGGTATGTACCCTGTTTTGCCCTGGGTAGGAGAGGTATTTGGATTCCAGCACTGCTAATCCTGCCCTGTCTTACAAAGACAGCTGGGGAGGAGGGGACAGAAGCATCTTAAGGGAGAAACCTGCAGACTGCCAACAGCTCAGCAAGAGGGAGCAAGAGCAAGGCAAACCCTTGGGGGACACAGCTTCATGATTCACTGAAATGGCTCCTTGCCATCACTCCTATTTGCCACACGTGCTACACGTGGGAAAAGATCCTGTGACCTGCCAAAGGCAAGGTAACATGCAACCACTGCAGCACAGCCAGGCACAACGCCTCTGGCAGGTTACATACTCCACCCCCAGGCCTGGGATTTCCCTAGCATGGAGGACAAGGATCCCATGATAAGCAGCTGCCCTGCAGTTTCTAAGGGTGCTTATCCTCACTGGTAATGTAATGGCCTTTTCCATCACCCCCTGCTCCCCAAGCAAGGTCACAGCATGCACCAGACCTTCCAGCTAGATCCCAGGTTCATAGTCTACCACCCACAGCCAGCCTGCAAGGCCTTTTCTTTCCCATCGTATCTTGGAGTGACGTTTCTAGTTAGAAACACCTTAAACCATCTATCACAGCAGTATCAAGGCTCTGCCTCTCTGTCCAGCTCATGCTGGCTATTGTCACGAGCAGAGCTGACCAGATTTCATTCATCCAAGCCTTGGTGGTTGAATGAGATGAGTGGCCCCGACTCCATGTGCTGCCTAGCTCTTGTCACCTAACTGTGGCCCAAGCTTTCTTTTCTCTAAAGGAGTTAAGAATGTTTCATGTCGAGACACAAAGGCTCCCCACTACCTGAGTGGCATCATGCTTCTCCTCCAGGTCACTGTAGTGCCAGTCCCATTAGCACATATGTTTTAGGATAACATGGTGTCTTACCCTTGGCAAAACTCTCTAGCTCCTTTATTCTGAATCAAGCACAGCACATCATCTACGTCATGTGTGGATCAGCCAGGAACCCAGAAGTCAAAGTAGAAGAGGTCTGGGTAAAAACCTCAGCTGCTTGTGAAAACGGCTGCATCCCACTTACCCAAACACCAGCACTGAGAGGCAGACACACATATTTTTCCCATGAGGAAGTCTTTACCTCTCATGGTGCAGGACATGGTACTGACAGACATGTCATGTTTTAATGGCTGAAACATCACAGCAGTGATTGCTCTCACAGAACACCAAATATGTTGCAATGCTGGTCTGATTTCTTCCATGGGCCACTCTCTCACTGGTGGTACAAGGTATGGCAGCTTGGCACCCTTTTGTCTTCCCTGTACAACCTGCTAAGACCTCGCTTTGTAGGTGCTGGCAAAGAGCTAACTGTGCTCCTGTCTACTGCAGTACGCCAGGGCCCACCGTGTCATCTGCTGCAGGGATCAGACCCACTGCTTGGTAGAAGTGAGGAGCAATGAGGACATCATTACCTCCCACTGTCTGAGCAGAGCACAGAAGAGACATTATTTGAAGAGACAGAAAATCACAAACAGCTGCTAGCCGATGAGTCACACAGACATATGTTAGCTGCTACTTCAAAAGAAGACTCCAGAACAAAAAAATTAGGTACATGAAAACACGAGATCCTCAACCTGTGTCAGTCCACAATCTCCATGGAAGTTGTTGAGCCACTGATCTGCAGCAGCCAAGACTGACGTGGTACATTATAGGAAGTCATTAAACCAAGTAATTGTGGCAGAGCTTTGCATCTTCAGTGAGGCTCCACCCCATCAGTGCTGATGGGAATAATCAGGATCATATCCCAAGCAGGGTGTTTTCTAACTACTGTCACTGAGGACTGAAGACAGTGCCCTTCACTGGCTGTCTCTGGAGAAAGGTCTCAGTCTGAAGGGAGACACAAGTGTTCTCCAAATTGCAAGGGAAATATCTTGGTGAAAACAGCATTAAATATTCAGGGTCCAGCCTGTCTCAACTACTTAGCTAGCATCTTTTACTCACATTTAATTCACATGAACCAACACCCACTTGCAAGCTGAACAGGTAATTTTATTCCTTCAGCATTTATTTGGAGGTCAGCTGCTGGGCAACACTGCAAGTGCCCTTTATCAATTCAGATTCACCACCTCTCTAAAACTATTTTCAAGCTACACAAGGACAAGAGGGATGCTAAGTTTGGGGTCTACAGAACTTGACTTGCCATCTATTCAAGCCAGAAAGAGCATAACAGCATCCAATAGGATGCTGAGGACAAGGGTCCTCCCAGCAGCTGTTTGAGCAGTGATCAGTGCCATTGGGTTCCTCTCAAATATTCTGCCTATAAATTCTGGATCTGCTAACCTTGGATTAGATCTGCGACTATTTTTAGAAGCTTGAACAAAAAGCAGTCATCCAGTGGAGTGCTTTTCACTTCCCATTTTAGACATTACATCCTTAGCCCAAATGTAATCACCCGCTGAGCTGTTCAAGGTCAACTCCTATTTCAGTCGTCACATCGCCCCATTCCACCTTTGTCCTGATGTCTCGCCAGTCTTGTCCCAAGAGCTGGTGTTGTTTAAGTTGAATGCAAAATGTCTGCACCTCTTACTCACCCGTCTTTGGAGAGGTGATGCCGGAAGAAGTCATTGGCTGCCAGTTTTATAGCCTTTTCTGGGGTCACTAGAGTCAGGTTCACTGCAGCCCCTGAGCAAGGAAAAGAGGAAAAGGCCATTGGAGAATGAGAATAAAGGAACCGTTAACTGGATCTTTCAGGAATGCATTGTAACTCCTGCTCAAAACCAAGGACTGATGAAGGAGAACTCTCAATGCATCAAAAGGGTTTAGAAACGTGAAACACCACTGGAAATTCATAGGATTTTTGCCTCCCGACACCTTAGGCTTTTGAAAACATCCCCTGAAGTGTTTCTACTCCATTTGCAATATGTTTTTTGTAATTTCTTTAGCTTTACTACCACTTCCCACCATGCATACATGCATCCTCTTCTCTCATCCAAGGATGCATTCCTACAAATCCAGAAGGATGCAGATCAGACCTTCAACAAAGGAGTACGAGTTGGATTAATAACCAGTCCCAACTCCTTGCAAATACTTTGTGATACTGAGAAGCAAAAGCCCCCTGCCCCACCTTCTTGCTAGTGTCCCTGCCCCACCATCACCAAAAGCAGAGCAGTTCGCTTACCAGGCAGCCCAGAAAAGGCAGAGCCATAGAAAGACCTGGAGGTTGGTTGAAAGCAACTGGCTGCACAGAAGTCAGTCAGCTCTAGAGCAACCCTTGGAGTTAAGTGGCTTCCCTTGTCTATCACCACTGGGTGTCACCCTCAGAACAGCCACCGTTGAAGTGGCTTTTTGTCCACCACAAGCTGCAGCATGCAGAAATTCCCCTCCAAGCACCGTGGCAACGCTTGCTGGGGGATCTGGGGTGTAAACAAGCATTGGCTCCCCAGCACCCACTGGAGTGGCCTTTTGTCAGGAGCAACAAACAGCAAATCCCTGTATTGTGCCTGTACAATGAAAGGTCTGCGTGGCCTGGCCGGCTGCTGTGGGCCATGGACACCAGCATTAGTGCAACACAGCGGCTGGGAGGCAGCTTTCAAGCTGCCCTGGGGGAAATGGGGTGAGGGGAGGGCCAGTTTCTTCTGAGCGTACTGGGTTTTGCACCATCAGATTAATGCTCCAGAATATTCTCCTCCCTTTAAATCTTATGGCTCAAGAAGTCCTCCAGTGGATGACCACAAGCTCTCCCTGCCTGCACTGAAGCATACTGAGCTCCAAGCCCTCTGGAAGAGCTTCGCTTGAGACTTGTTAATAGCCTATAAATACCTTTGCAAGGACAAACACAAATACTAGGGTATACCTTTTGCATTTATGCTTGCTGTAGAGATTTAAACAACTTGTCCCAAAGCTCTGTTTTCCAAAGTGAAGCAGACAGAGAAGCCTGTACTCCCACTAGGTTCTGAAGACCTGGCAGGGTTCATTTTCAGGAGGTTTGAACACAAGTTGACAGGAGCTATTAGGGCTCAACACACCTAAAGAAAGGCAACTCAATCCTCTGTTCCTCAGGATGGACTCCCCTCCATCCCCAAACTATTAAAGAACCCCTAAATTAGACACGGAAAGACATAGGTTTAGGGGGACTTCCCTCAGATTAGAAAGCAAAACTGCATCTAGGACTTCTGGGACCAGTACAGCTGGGACCAGGACATGGGAATCCTTGGCTCCACATCCTCTGCTCAGAGGACACATTTCCATCATGCAGGAAATTGCAGCAAGAAAACAGACAGCCTTTGCGGGGCAGGGCTGGGCAGCCCAACACATTTTCCCCCCCTCCAACTGCCATGTTCAGATTTTGCAGAAAATAGAGTAACACTTCCTCGTAGCAAGCTAAGCCAATGCATTCGTTCCACACTGGCCATGACATCCAACAAATGCCATCGTCTTCTACAGAAGCCAAATTAACTAGCCTGGGAGCAGGGCAGCCTTCTCACACTCCTGGGTTTTTGCAAACTTTTAAGTGTACCAGTGATTGCACTGCTTCAGTGTGATGTGCTTCCTACACATCATGTCCCCCTACCATGGCTCTTGCACATGATGAAAAGCCACACAGACATGATCCTTACGCTCTACCTCCACCTTTTAATGTCAATCATATCAGGATCTACAAAGCAAATCCACACAGCCTGATTTTTAAGTGGAGGTGGCTACCCAGGAAGCGTTTCCTCAGATGCCAAGTTGAAGACAACTTCAACCCCTCTCCTAATGGCTAGAAAGTAAAACACCTGTACATTAGTGACATGCAGCATGAATAACCATTTCCTTGGAAAAACAAGGAGAGAAAGAAAAAAGAATAAACCGCTACTCTAACACCAGTGCAAAGGGTTCATTGAAAGAAAGAAAACAAACTCCAAACCATCAAGCAAGAAACGTAAACAAGAAGTATGCTACTACATGCTGACCTCCTCCAGGAGCCAAGAGGCTTTCACAGCAATTTCTCCTTCAATTGCAAATAAAACAGAAGGTAAAAACACACAATATACAGAGAAAAGCTAATGAACCTGCATTTTCTCCTACATCTTTGGTATTTTCAGTAAAGCTGCTTAGCAGAGAATGGATAATCCCTGTCCTCAGTAATCCCTAACAGCTTCAATTCACTGGAGGAGGAGAAATTAGATACTTCAGCTGCTGGCTGTATGTTTTCCACGTCATTTTCTACCTTTTTACAAAATCTCATAGCTCTTCAATTCTTGCTATGCCAATGAGTCTATTTCCCTAATTAAAGTTAACCTTGGCCTATAGGCAATGCTACGTATACCAGAAGCAATGACAGACAAACAGAATGCAAAAATAAATTGCAATCATTAAAAAATAGAAAGTATTTTGAAAAGAAGTACAGAAGCACTATAAATAACAAATCAAGTAGAGGCAAAAGCAGTTGTTTGCCAAGTGAACTCATAACTGCTGTCTTCTCACCAAGCCTTGGGTTTTGTTATCAAAATACATTTCTCATAGAAGCCCTTATATACCACCAGCAACCTACATAACAGGGGGATTGAGTCATCCCCTGTGTGGCACTGGTGCACGTGGGAGGTATCATTAGCAGAGGCCAGGGAAGGCTGCCACACTACTGTAGCTAAACTGCAGCTATTCTCCAAACCTCATCAACAGCAAAGGGCATTCCCGCAGCCTGATTTCCTCAGGCTTTCCTTTGGCTCCTGCCAGCTATGCTAAGCAGCTGGTCTGCAAACAACAGTGGGACTTTCCAGGACACGTGCTGGGATCTATAGGTGGCTTCTGGATGGACTGTAGCAGGGAGCAGAGGGAGCACCTCTCCTAAGTCCCCTTCCACTGGTGTCCACATGGTCCAGGAGTCCACAGGCACCATGGATTCATTCATGTCTGAAGGCAGTACACCATCATACCTTGAGCACAGACAGGGCTAGACAGCACCACCCAGCTTTGAGGCACTGCTGCTACCTAGACATTACAGAAAAAACATGAGAAAAAAACCCTCCTCTTCTTCCTCCCCCAAACCAACCCAAGAATCCCTGTAACTTTTTGGGAAGAACTTGAGAGAAATGTTGGGATTGCCTTATATATCACACAATTTACTATGGGCTACTCATACAGAACAAGGGCTGTCTGCCCACACACACCACTTAAGAGAGAATTTGCAGAAAAGCATCCTACAAGCTCGAACCTCTCTCCTGTCCACACTGAGGAGCTTTGATTCACACACAAAGGCGACATGAAGTCACAGAGTGGGAATGGCTGCACCCAAGCAGACCCTTTCTGTCCTCCAACTGAGGCCAAGTGCCCTGCAGGGACAACTGATGCACTTGTGACTCCTCCATGGGCCACAGCAGCTGCCACTTTAGCACATTAAGATGCAATTGGGAGGATTATATGTTAAAGGCTGAAAATAAGAGCTTGTGAGTCATATAGCAACTTCTGCTGGGGAACTGGGACAGATGGAGGGAGCAGGAACCAATCCCACCATCTGATTTCCATCTTCCCGTCTGCAAGGCTGAGCCGTCTCTTTACCTTCTTCCCACAAAAGTACTCACATTCTTCACAAATCTTGGATGTATTTTACCCACCCGTCCTCCCCCCAAGAGGGAGGGAAGGGCTGCTAATGTCAGCTCACAGAACTGAGGCACAGAGACCAGGATTGCTGTACTTGGAGGACTCGCCTTTGTACCCTGGCCATGCTGAAATATCTATGAATTTCTGGAAGGAGCTGGAGCTATTCACAAAAGCCCTCTCCAAACCCAGCCCCACATTTAATAGTCAGAAGTGACAAGTAAATTCAAGCCACTATGAGCTCCTTGAACACAGGGTGTACAAAGTTAGTGGGACATGGACCAAGCTGATGAGGCTCATTATGGCTGGGAAAAGCAAGAGCTATGCAAAACCCTCTGCACCCTTTGAGATTTCTGCTTGGGAGTGAAAAGTGGCCTGGAGATGTACATCCCTTCCATGACCTTACACCTTACAGGACTGAGCTGTCTCTCCCAAAATCCCTGACAGGTCCTACAGTCTCCCCTGTAAGCTTCCAGGAACAGCTTCTTCCTTCTGCTCCCCAGCAAGCAGCCTGCCACTGCATATTTACAGCCAAAGTAAATGCAGGCTCCATTCCTGGCTAGGAACACAGAAGCAGCCAGCTTCCCAGAAAAACCAAGGGGTAACATGTCACCACTAGCATCGAAGATGCAGCTTGCCAGGGTTCCTCGGGATTATTTGTCTTGTTGCCTGCTCCCAGAAAAGCTGGCATGAAGCAGCCAATCCATCCCCGGCATCCACCCCACTCCCCCAAAACGCCCACCAGCAAGTTGGGCAAGAGACACTGCCTCATCAGCCAGCGCCTGCTCCCAGGCAGCAGTGTCTGTGTTTCCACAGGAGCTATGGAAGAAGTGGCAAGAGACGCTACTGCTGCCAACAGCAAGGCGCCAGCACCTCCGGACTCCCGCTTGAAAAAACAAAGAGCAAGGACTCACTTAATCAAAGTAGTACTTTAATCAGGCTTTATCAGTGAATGAGTGCCACAAAGAATGCTATCTGAACAACTCAGAGATAAAAACTGCATATTCAGGCAATTGAATACCAGTATATAAAATAATCAGAATTCAGTGTCGACTAAGCCAGTTTCAGCCTGTGCTGAAAGCCAGGAAGGTATTCCACATTTTCCTCTGCTACAAGTAAAGTCAGAATTTGGCCTGCTGTTCCTCTCTCCTCAAAATCTTTAAAAACTTTCAAGGATTTTGAAAGGTATAGAAAGGTATAATGTCAACTGAGGAACTCACTGCTGCAACAAACAGCCTAAGCCAAGGAGCCAGGAGATTTCTAGCAGGTTAGCACACAACAACTAAAGAGCTGAAGCTCCACCATGAGCCAACCTCTGATTTTCTTACCACCCAAAGGAGTTTTTTCTGGGGGTAGGTTATTTTTAAATATTTTTTTAATTGCAGATTGTCTTAACACTTAAAACAAAGCACTCGGGCATGCTTGAGAGACAGCTGGTTTTGGAGACAAGCTACGAACTAGATGGGATAGCAGGCCCGACCATTGGTAGTGGGCTTTGACATAAATTCAATCATCAACCACAAAGTCAGACACTTAAGAAGTTTGCTACTGACAAAAGTTACTGTGCCCGAGGTGGGAAACACACACATGCAGTCCTGAAACGAAGTCCAGCAGCTTCACTTAAACTGCTAGTAAAGATGAACTTCAATAAACAGTAAGGTTTAACACCAAAACAGCTACAGGGAAGACTCAAGCCCTCAATGGTGGAGAGCTGAGCAGATACCTGGCATAGAGGAGTTTATTTTCAGAAAGAGCTGCACCTTTCAACATCTTAGGATATTGCTAGGTTATTGCTTTATAAGCCAGTGAATGTGGGCTTTTCCTCCAACTTACACACCAGTGCTTCCAACGCAAAAGCTGCACCATGCCCGACTTAGCTTTATTTACCTCTGTACATGCCAAAGTAGCCTTCCGACCGAATTGTTTTAATGAGGCAGTCAGACCTGCAAACAAAACAGAGAGAGATAAGCCACAGGAGCTCAAAGGTGGGTGAGAGCAGAGAAAAACAACACAAATCTCTTGGAATGGTTTTCATTTACAATCTGTCAGCAAAACCCTGAGCCGAGAAGGGAACCCTGTCAGTCGCTGAATGTGCCATTGTTCAGGCCTGAGTCCAATTTCAGCCCCTAATTCACAGGGGCTTTGAAACCTGCGGCTCACCCTGCACGTGCTGTCTGCTTTCTAGAAACACAAAAGGGAAAAGTGTCACTGCAAGGGCTGTTTATCCAGGGTCCCCTGTGGCAAACAAGCATGAGATGCTCTAACAAGCAGATCCCCATGCGCATGTTTTTAAATCAGCTCTGGAAGGGAAATGAGGGGGGCCAAAACCCCCAATGCTGACTTGCTTGACTTACTCAGTGAAATTCAACACAAGTCACACAAACACTAGATGACCTGAACGCTCAGTCATCTGTGACCTCCCACGCAGATTAAAGCACTTACTTTTAATACCTCGGGTCCCACAGCAGGCAGCGAGCTCTCAGGCTCTCACCCTGGGGAGAGCGTGGCAGGGTGCCGCAGAGGTCTGCTCCAAGGGGAAAACTGTCACTGCCTTCGTTTCAACTATATTTACTGCAAATAGGAAAACTGTGCAGAGCGCCAGAATGGCTCAAAGCCTTTCGAAGGCACAGCCGCACACACCTAACAAACCCAGAGGCGCAGTTCAGGAAGGCAGCACAGATCCCCTGGTAGAGTTTCCCTCTCTGGACCATGGCTGTGTGAAGCCCAGGCACTGGCTGAAGGCTGGTTTGCTGTCTTTGGGAAGGGACGGGTACCTCCTATGGTCACAGGGGAAGGGAGAGGTGTGCATGCATATGTAATTAAGGAAAAAAAGGCTCTTTTAAGTAGTAATAAGGGAAGTGTACCTTATGAAAACAGTAATACAATTCTAAGAGATTTGGCAACACAAGGAGTAAACTTCAATCTCCGCTCTGTAGTAGTGCTGAGGTGGGAGAGAAGGAACTACAGAGTTCCCTCGAGGGCTTTATGGCCCTGCTTGGGTCAAGACTGCTCTAGGGTACCCCACGTTATTTGTGAAGAGTCCATCCTGCATGCTGCCAGTCATGGCAATGAGTTTCCCCTCTCTGCTGGGACACCCTGCATCCTTTGGGACCCCATCTTTCATGCACCCTGCCCCAGCTCCTGCAGCTTGCATGCACCCACCTTGTTCTTGAGAGCAGCCCCCCAATTCGTAAGCCCCAGACATCTCGGGGCACCTTTCTTCTACCCCCCAACAAGCTCTTCCACCGCAAGGCATTTTTCCTGAGCCAGCGGTGCTGCTCTGAACAAGCCACAGCAGAGAGGGAAGCAGGAAGAGCTGCTCCCCACCATGCTCAGGCAGCCCTGCTACCTCACCGTAAGGCTTGCGTGTCACTCCCGCCCCTCGAGCTGCAGCAGAGCGCGATGGAGCCAAGGCCATGCCCAGCTCTTTCCTCTCCCTGGAAAAAGGGAGCCAACAGCCAACTAAAATTATACATGACATACCTGGGGCAGTGCAGCCCAAAAGCCGAGCTCTCTCCTGCCCTCAGGGCTGCTCCCAAGTGTCTTTGTCTGTTTCAAAGGAAAGGCTCCCCTGATGCCAAAGGTCTCTTGAGCTGAGCAGAAGCAAGGCATGACAGCCAAAATTTTATATGAACTTGCTGCCTTCCTGGGTGTTCAGCAGACACCTTTGAGATCTGGTATCGATGGGCATACAGTATTTCCCAAAAATAAGACCCTGTAACTGGGATGCTCAGACAAGCCCTCCCAAATCCCTAGCTTACGTAAGGGTGTCTCTCAAGACATGCTCCATGCATGGTAACTGCATCCTCTTAGTGCCTTTCCCTTACTTGCTTAGGTAGGACACAGGATGGCCTGATGTTGTCTAGACGATGTGTTATCCCCATTATTTCCTTGTCCCTGCTGGCCCCTCAGCCCCCAAAGACCCTTTCACTTATCCCCACAGCTGCTGCCAATGCCAGAGGAACACCTCCAGCATTACTCATTCACATCCAAGCTTTGTCACAGACTCTTAGGAGGAGCCAGCTCAAATATACAGGGTAAAGCCTGTGTATTCCTTAACGGCGCCTCATCCCACAACAACTCCTGGCTACGGAGCAGATCTGCACTCGACTGCTGGAGGTTAAAAGCCTCTCTCCTACTGAGCCCCCTCTCCAGAGGTGAGGCATCCTGGCACACACTCCCAAGGGGAGCCTACAAATCCTCCACCCTGCCCAAACTCCTGTTGCTGTCACCTATCAGGTCAGGGGAGAAACAACACTCAGCGAGGAGAAGCAAATTGCAGCAGCGGCAGGAGCAGGACACAACAAAAAGGAGAGGCAAGGCAAGATGGGAGGCCATGTCCTGCCAGCATGCCTGGGCACACAAACAACGCAGGGAGCAGAGAGCACTGTAACTGTCAGGGGAAGCACCAGTCTGCCACGGCACGCCAGAGCTCATGCATAATTACGTGTCGACAGCTAGAGCAAGGAGGCCCGGAGACTAAAACCATCAACATACAAAGCATTTCCTTCCTATTCCCACTCTGTCTCAAATTCTCCTGTGCAGGAAAGAGGAACGTATTGGTGTGGAGGAGCAGGGAGCAGATAACACTACTTCTGAACAAGGTGGCAGGAGGACAGGACACACATCATCAGTCCCAGTCCCTTCTACCCCCTCAATGACACCAGTACTTTTGGAAAACTAAGGCCTGACTCTAGTTCCTAGGATAAAGCATCTTGGGCTGAGTGTGGTGCACATTCTCCCAGCAGATACACAGCCCTAAGCATCCTATACAAATCCCAGGTGAATTTGGTGGGCTGGATATATTCACGCCTTCTTTTTCTACAGCACTTAATTTTTTTTGACATAGGACTGCTGGGGTAACTACAGCGTGTGTCAACCTGTGACCTTTCAAAAGGTCTGCATGCAGTGCTCTAGACTGGGAGTCGGTGACTGCTTCCTCTTTTTACAACTGACACAGCAAAGGAAGCACCTCCAATATGAGAGCCATGGAAAGAGAATAGAGGCAGAAATTCCCTCATGCACCTGCTTGTGGTCCAGCAGAGAACCAAACAGGGCTCATTGTGTTTTGGTCCTGAGCCCTGATAACAGTGAACACGCTGCTCCCAAGCAAGGCACGCAAACAGAAGTGTCCTCTGCAGAGATCTTGCCTGCTGGGCTCAGCAGCCTGAATAGCTGCTTTATTTGCTTTATCTGCTCAAGCACAGCTTGGTTCAAGATTGTCCCCCGGCTTTCCTGGGGACAGCCCAGTTGTTAGAAATGCTGAACACACCTGAAAGAGGTAACAAAGTGGAAGGTCTCCCCACCAAAAGTCCCGGGGAATTCTGCCCATGCGGGTGGTACTCACATGCTGGTGTACATCCGCTGGCCATTCTGCTGGTTCTGCAGGCGAGTTTTTGCCAGGTCAATGGGAAATACACAGGTGACCCCAATCAGCCCAGCTATCCCTCCATTGATCAGCTTGGCAGGTAAACTGTAAGGGGACGAGATGCAGAGAAACAGATGTCTTAGCACTGGCATAATGTCAGGGGAGGGAAAGAGGAAAGAACAGAGCTCTTTTGCATGTCCAGAGTTAACACATCACTGTGCAACAAGGCTGTCCCCCCTCCAGCATGAAGGGAGCTCTGCCTCAAGGCAAAGCGTGGCCCTTGCCATACATAGAGGGGAGGAGGGGAAAGCAGCACATCACATCAGGACAAACCACTGATGAGTGGAGTGGAGCCAAACAGCTAAGCCACACATCACTCAGAGCAAGGAAAAACCCTGTTCCCCAGGACCCAAGGGTTTCTGTTGTCCCTAGAGGAGAAAAGACAGTGCTGGACCGTCTACAACATGGATTGACTTCAGTTAGGGCCTGATGGCATCCAAGCCAGTAGGTTTACTGGCAAATGCTTCTCAGCACCACAATCAGATACACACCTAATGAGAGGTTCATGACATATCAGCTGCTACCATCACGTGGGAATGAGCCCAGCAGAAGTGCCCAGCTGGCAGCCAAGGAGCAGACGGCTGCAGCTCCAGGAAACTATTTCCAGACCCAGCGCCCGGAGCGAGGAGAACACACACAAACCAATAGTCTGGCGAAACCACCAGACTGGCAGCCTGCATGGCCGCGATGCAGAGACATGAGCTCATACCTCTCAGGGAAATCAAAACCTGGCTGGCTGCGTGTGCTTCCAAAACGCAGGGCTTTCTCTGCTTGCCTTTGTGCTCCTACAGGGAATTCTTGCACATGGCACTGAGTGAAAGCCAGATTAGCCAAACATGGGTTCCCAGCAAATTCAATTACGAAAAATGTCCAGCACTTATATGCTCAATAAACCACTACACACAGAGACAAAGGAAGCCTGTTTGAGTCAGCTCCCTCCAATAAAGCACAGGATATGGCTCCCTGAACACAGGATGTGTCAGATATTAAACTAACGGCTGACAGCAGTCCTAGATTGCAGCTGGGTGAGCCGGTGAGGCTGAGTCCTCCCACAGCGGGAACGGACATGCTGACTTTCACGACAGTGACATGATGCTCTGGATGGGGGCACAGGCTGCATTACCCAGTGGAAGCAGCAGCGGTGAGGCTGGCCATGGCATGCTGGGTTGAAGCTCTGCAAACACATTCTCCCCCAGCGGCATTGCAGAGCGCTCTGCATCAAGGGGCAACTGCAGAGAGGATCAGTAAGTGGCCATGCTGAAAGAGCTGCCTCTCAGCTCCAGGCTCAAGGGAAAGGCAGGATATGGAGACTCAGGGTTTCAACTTGAGGTCTCCCTGGAGAAAGCAGACAAAAGAGAGGTGGAAAAAAAATAAAAGTCTTTGCCCACAAGTGCTAAGCATGACCTTGACACTCCAGGAAACTCCTTTCAGCCTCTGCTCTCCTGCAGCCAGAACTCCTTCCTTCTCAATACCCACACCAATACAACACACACATGCAGCCCCAGGGCTGGCACTGCTGGAAGAAGAGGTGCTGAGGATGGGCAGACAGACAGACCTGAGCTCAGCCCATATCCCCAAACAAGACTGAGATTAAAACAAGCACAGCATGTTAGGAAGGTAGGCCCAAATCAGTGCATGAACTCAGTGCAGGGCCAAGACTGCAAGATCTCACCAGCTCGAGACTCGGTTGCCTCGGGGATCTTTGCACCGCAGCCTGAGAAGGGAACAGATTTGCCTGCAAACTCCTACGCTCAACTTGTGCTCAGGACATGGGAAAATTCCAAACAGTAAGCTTCACATCATGGTGCTCTCCTTATTTAACCCATACTCACACTGAAAGAGGAGGTTAGAGACCAGATAAAAGCATGTCAAGATGGAGGCACCATTGGGAAGGAGGGTGTTTCAAGGCAGGATCACATCAGCCTCCCCACATTCAGCTCTGAAGTCACTGCTAGCAGGTCACAGACTGCAAGGCACAACCAGTTCCCCTTTCCAGCCTCAGCACTGTCATCACTTCTCTAAGTGTCCCTGAAACACCCAGGGCAGGCAAACAGTTGCCTCTCTCAACCTGTTCCAATAGTGAAATCATCACAGGGTTTATATCAGGTGGAGACAAACACAGACACGTGGCAAATATCTTTCCTGCTGGCACCCTAAGTGCAAAAGATTCCCTAATTTCAGCACAGACCCCAGCAATAAAGGGGAATAGTCTGATGTGCCTGTGCAAGCCAAAAATTTGGACAACATGGGCTGCAGAGAGCCTCTCACTCTGTGGGTGAGAAACCCTTGCTCAACACCCCCATCACACCTGAATCCAACTACCCAGGTTCCCCCATGTGCACTGCAGAGGGAGACTAGTGCAGATGGGTTACATAGCAGTATCTGGCAAGACGCTGAGATCAAGTTCCATGTCCACTGCTGCAGAAATGCAATGCCCTTGATCTTGCTGTGCAGCAAACCACTGCTGTGGATTTTAGATTTTTGGTAACAATCTTATTTTGCTAAGGGATGACAAATGTACGCTGCAAGCAAAGATGGTTTGGTAGATCCTCCAAGCTTAAACAGATCTCCTTGGCTTGGCTGCCTGTGACCACTGCAGACTTGTGGTCGCACAGACGGAAGAGATGACCTAAGCAGGAGACGTGAGGGATTTGGGGCACAGAGAAGAACCTGCGACAGAGGCACTGCACCCGAGTCAAAAGTTTTTTCCCTTGGGGCTAAGACATCCCACTTTTCACCTCGGTGCTCTCTGCTCTCTCACGGGATGAGAATCCACTGTGCCTGGTCTCTCTGTCCTATTTAGCTTCTGCACAGCTACTGCCTCTCACTACCTAGGTGCGCAGGGCTTAGTGAAACGGGGACAACACAGGCTAGCATACAAATAAAGCCATTTGCTCAGTTTAACATGAGAAGGGATAGAATGGCATCCCAGTTCTCCTAGTGCTCCTCCTCAGCCCTTTTAACTAGTCCCTGTAGCCAGCAAGCTCCTGTTCACACTGCCAAGAGCACATTGGAGGGGCTGGGGGAGATCTTGGGAGGACACATCTTCCCTTCCTTGAAAATACCAAGCTTCACATTGCCACAGACATGTGGTCCTTTTGCTCTGCTGAGGCTATCAGGCACATACACCTGTCAGGCTCCATGGAGGTGAATCTCAGCATGCCCTTCATGGGTGTAAAAGAAGAGTGCCAAGTGCTCTCCAAATTGGGTAACTGATGATGGGCAAATCTAGGCACATAAACACTCCACAATGCTGTCTTGTTATCAATGCAGCTCAGGACTGTTTTCATTTTCAGAAGGCAGGCATGCAGAAAGATACCCTAATCATGGCAAACGCTAAGAAGGGGCAGCCCTCTTGCCTGTAGCATTCAGGCATTGCCAAGTCCTGGCCCTCTGTCACCAGGTTTCATTCACCCACTGACCCCTCCTGTCCTGAGCTGGTAACCTGCAAAACTAGATGTTTGAAGAGGACCACAGAAAAACCCACAGGAATCCCACACCACGTAGGAGTCATTTATCTGGGGCAACTTCATAAGCAGCAGAAAGTTAAACCCACGTGCAGAACTGTGCAGATCCAGCTGACACAGCTCTTAGGAAGCTATGGGTATTACTGCATCTTTCCAAAAGATGCATCCCAATTCATTTCCAGAAAGGACTCAAATCCAGCCTTTGTATATGCCAGGACCAACACTCTTAAGTTCCTGCTGTGCACTTAAGTGTCACTGATTATTGTTGGTACTTCATGTTCCTGCAATCACTCAAGCATTGACTGGCTTTAGAAGAAGGGCACAAGGCTCCATCTAGGTGGACTTTGTAATTACAAGCACTGCATCCCCTCGCTTTGCTCCCTTGATGGCAGCAAGCTGAAGTCAGCAGGTCAAGCTGACCTTTGAAAGAGGAAGCAAAAAGGAACAGACTCATGCAGGGTAAAAAGCATACGGCAGAAAGAAAAAGACAGCGAGAAAAAAGAACTGAAGAAAGCAGAGATGTGACAACATGGCAAAGACAGAAAATAAGAGAAGGTTGAAAAAAAGCAGGTAGGAAAGGAGCAGAGATGGAATCAGAACTGTTTAAGGCCAGAAGAGATGATCAGGTGATTTCTTCCAACCTCCTGTATCACAAAACGGATTAAGTTTGAAAGAGTTTAAAAGAAAAGTCTAAAGTACAACCAACAACTCAAAAATTTTTTAAAAGTTACCTGATCTGTTTATCAGCCATTTAATTCAAACTTGATCTTGTTAAGAAATGAATCTGTTCCTTCAAATTGTTCCTTAATTTCTTTTTCAGTCACTTCTTTTTCACTTCAGTTTCTTCCTGGGAAAGGAGAGAAAGACACCAAGGAGACAAAGTTGAGACACACTCTGCCTGAAGCTCAGGTCCTACTGGGCAGACTGCAGGGTGAGGCCAGCTGAGGAACAAGTGACTTAAGGGAGCACCTGGTCACCTCAGAGAGGAGACTGAGCTCCAGAGGGAGCCTTATAAATGTGTGTGTATATATAAATATACAAGCACATATGGAGGGAAGAGCTGCCAGAGTCATCAGGCTCCAGCAGCATGTGAGGAAGCGCAGCAGCCAGGCAGTGCACGAGCTCTGCCCAACGTCCAGGACAGATGTACCCATCACAGCTCTCTGGAACTCCAGGGAGCGTTTCACACAGCACCATGTGGACCTCCAACTCTCTGCAGGTCCACCCAGCCACCCCAAGACAATCACATGCCATCGCGAGACCCATTCAAGACCTCCCTCCAACACATACATGCTGTTTCTAAAGGACAGTCTTCAAAAACCTGCTCCTCCAGTGGTTACAATCCTTCCTCTATTTCCCAGCCAAAACAGACAGCCCATGCTCCATCTTGTGCCAACATTGTCTTTTAAGTAGTGCCTCTCCCTCCCCAAGCTATTGATGTGACTTTGCCCTTTGGACCACTCTTTTGAGCTCAGTGTCTACTGGCACAGCGCTGAAGCTCCAAGTCTGCGGGAAATGGTTCTCTCTAAGACTCCTAATTGCTCCTGTTTAACGAGAGCTGGTAGAAGTCACTACACAAACAAATCTGGACTCTGGAAAAAATTTCAGAAGTTGCCACAACCTTCAGCTTTCTGGAAGTGTCTTTGTCTCCTCCTCACTTCCAACCTGGGAATCAGGTGCCCCACGCTTCCATCAGGCATCTCAGCAGCACTCAGCCATTATCCTCCCTCTGCCCTTCCAGCTGCCACCTGGGTGGCGAGCCAGAAGCAGAGGAGATATCTTTGCCCTTTGCCTCTGGAATGAAATTTGCCCCTTAATTGCAGATTTCCTAAGCCACATGGAATCTCACATCCAACAAGGTGGCTTTCAGGCTGACATTTCTGCTCTGGAGACACAACCTGAGGGCCAAAGGCATTCCTGAGAATAAAAGGTCCCTGAAAGTGTAAAAAGCTGCTGATGGTGCAAACAGATACGGGAAGGAGAGCGGGTGAGGTCACATGCAGTTCAGCACTGACCTGCTCCCCTCCCTGTCACATGAAGTGCCAAGGACAGGGCAGCCTGAAAACACTTGTCCCATGCTTGGACAACATGAGATTAAAACTGCTTTTTCTGGAGTCCCATATTCAGGCAAAGCCATGAGACCAGCACACAGAGCTCGCTAAGGAAAGGGGCTCCTCTCCAAAACACTGCACATGAACCTCACCCAGTACACTACAGTATTACACCTTCTATCCCTTCCGTGACCCCTCTTCAGACAGTTTACCTGATCTCAACTAATCTGTGGAAGCAGACCTTAAAAATCTCCAGATAAGCTAAGTCTGCACTTTCTGAGTAAAAACTGCTTACACCTTTGGCTGCATGTGCTTTCATATGCACATCCACAAGAGTAGTTTGTTTCAGATTAATCTAATTCTCTATCAATTTAACAAGAACAAGACCAAAATATAAAAATATAGGAAGACCAGTTGCTGAAAGCCTGTAACCCTGGCATAAACAAGCCCTGAACCATGAAAACTCACTTGATAATGTCTCTACCCTCAACAGGATATTTCTGTTTATTGAGGCAGCAGCTCTGCCAAAATACATGCACCGAGTGGTCCTGACACCCCACTCCAAGGTCTGGCAAACTCCCCCCTTTGTTGCCCCTGCTGCAGTCTTCCCTGCAGAGAGGCATCCAGGAGGCCAGGCACTCATCGTAAAGGGCAAGGCAAGAGAAGACAGCAAGGCTAATATTCACCACTGACAGGTAGCCGAAAGAGTGAGAGACTGATGGACACACAAATGTATCACAGGGCTGCTTCATATCTGCTGACACAAGTAGCGTGATGGGGGTGGGAGAAGATGCTACTGCACTGAGAGGAACTTGGGACAGCTGGGTTTAGCTCTCTGCTCTCTTTTTTTCTTTCTACTTTTGGCTTCAGCTCTCCACCTGCCCGGTAACTGCAAAGCCCTCCCCAGCTGTCTGACCCAGCTGGAAAACTGCTGCTGCTTCCCACCAAGGAACAGATGCTCCTGCTGCAACTGCACAGCAGGAAGGGGTAAAAACAATCTTCCTGAGTTTAAAACCAGGCAGAGTTACAGGTTTCCTTGGTGCTAGCCATAGGGCCAGCAAATGCCAGGACTAGTATCATCTCCCCTAACAAAAGCTATTCAACTCGCAGACAAGCAAGGGGAAGAGAATGATGTGATCATTTTATAGTAGACACCAGCACTTGATAACTGTTTATACAGCACCTGGCACAACGGAGGCCTGAATGTCCATGGCCAGGGGATTTTAATGCATTAAGAGATTTTAATGCACTGAACTGGAAAGCTTATTTGAGCTCTGTTTGTTTAAACAGAGCTCCAGCAAATGACCATTTGCAAAACAAACCCAAAGTCACTGCAAACTCCATCTGAGCACTTTGTTGTAATCTACAGAACTCCCTGAGTCCCTTAAAAGATGGTGAATGATCAAGCCTCCAGCGCCCTGGCCAGGGAGTTCCTGGGGAGAGCCGGGTCTCAGATCCTCCCAGGGCAGGAAAAGAGCTGCAGTCCTGCAGCCTGAGGAGGAAAAACACAGGCTGGGAGGAAAATGCTGGTAATTTTATAGGATATTAAAAAAAAAAAAAAAATCCAGAACAACATTATACATTTAACCTAGAAAGGAAATAGATTAAGTAAAGACATAAGTATATCTCCCCAGGAACACAGTGCTCTCAGGAGCCAAAAAATGCAAACAAAAGCAGACAAGCAAAGCTTCTGCAGCCAAGTAGGGGTGTAGCTCCAGGGCTTCCTATGGGAGTAGGGTCAGAGAGCAGGGCTTGCATCTTCTCAGGAAACCTCCCATCAGCACCTGCATTGGGGCAGCAGACAAGCCAGCAGCACCAAAAAGGTGCTGATGCCTCAGAAAGTATTTGTATGATTAAACTTCACAGCCAGGTGGACAATGGCAGTGCTGGAACTGGGAACCTGCATGGCATGAGGACCACAGGAGCCGGGAGGAAACTGGTAGCAGATGGGCAGGGGAAATGAGAGCTGCCAGAGACCCACCTCAAAGCTGAAGAGGCTGAGCAGCCTTCACAGAAGGGAGTTCCTAAATCAAACATCCCATAACTAAGAGAGCGAGAGCTGCATGGGCAATGAATTATGTGGCGTTAATTCCTTCCTAGAGTGCTGTTAACACAGCTAGGCATGGATTAATGCCCCATTACTCACACACCAGGACGTCCCTTCTACATTTATTAAAATGATCAAGCAAATTAGTTTCAGAGCAATGCACACACCACAGCATGGGGAATTGCCTCCGTGCTAGGCAGAGAAGCGGTGCAAATGGCCCGAAGCTCACACTGCCGCACACAGATAGCTCAGGAGCCTCCTCAACCCAGCCTCTTCCTTTTCCCAGCTCCCAAAATCCAGCTCCAGAGAGCAACAAGAGCAGCCAGATTGGGGGTACCACAATGCAAACCTAACCAGCTTTGGATGTATCTGGTCCTCACAGCCTCAGCCACTGGCAAGATGGTGCTATTTTGCTCCCCTGCCTTGCCACGCACCACACACGCTCATCCACCTACGCTACACAGATGGTAAGGTTTTCTCCAGGATGGCCAACCTTTGCACACTGCAAACCTGCTGCACTCCTGGTCAGCCTGGCGGCACTGGACTATTAACCTTCGGTTCTTGCCTGACCACCTGAAGGAAAAGTGCTTACCAGAGAATCACTGCCCAGCCTGGGGCATGGAAGCAGGCGCATGGTCTCATCACATGCCATGTATGCCACCAGCAAGCTTGGATGGAAATACAGGCATCCAACATCTCCACAAGCTGAGACATCACGGGAGAAGAAACAGATTAAGCTGACCCACACCTCTTTGACCACACTCAACACATTTATTGCCACTGCAATGCCCTATGGCTGTGGTTTGCCACCTCTACCTCCAGCTGCTACTGCTCTGCCCACAGTTTGACCCTGGGGGTCCCCACAGCTCAGCACCCTCCTTCTTGTCCTGCTCTCCCTCTGCCAGGCTGCCAGAGCCACCGCTGGCATCCTCCAAGTCAGCTACGGGCTCCCAGTCCACCAGGTCCCCCAGTCCTGCCAGCAGCCCCACCCCAAAGGCTGACTCTTCGCTTCTGCCCTCCACCAGCCCTCAGGCACAGATCATTGGACATGCCGATTTATCTGAGCGCACACAGGCTGCCGTTTTGACAGAAGACCTTGAGCCAACGTCAGCTGTCGCTGTGGCCGAAGGAAGCAATCCCATCCTCTCCCTACACCTAAACATGCGTTCCCATGCCTGCTTTTGTGCCAGCACAAACATTTGTGTAGAGTGGTCAGACAGGGATGAGAGAACTGGAGGCCAGCAAATGCTGGAGCTGTCACTGAAAGCAAACATTCAGCCTACAACCTTGACCTGAAAATAAACGGCAGAAGGGGAAGACAGGACTCCCTTCCACACATTTCCATTTGTCTTGAGAGCAGACAAACAGTGCCCCAGCCAGAGAAGCCGACATCAAGAAGCGGGGCTCAGAAGCTGCACCAGCATCCACTGTGTTGAGAGGACACAGCCATGCGATGGCTCACAGTCAGAGAAGGAGGAAGGGGGAGGCAGCGGGGGAAGCCATCAGCAACTAGTACCTGCTGGGAGAAGAGAAACCCTCTGGGATCAGCACACTGCTTTCTTTCACAGCGCAAACACATTTGAAGGTATGGACACCTTGCAAAGTTTTGCTAACGACTGAAGCAAAGCTGCCATCGCAACAATAAGGTTTAAGGAGTGCAAACTGAACTGCAAATATTTCCAGAGAGAAGCTGCTTTCTAGATGTGTGCCAGGCACAAAGCACACAAGGGAGTTGGCACCAGGAAATCT